CAGGCTTCAGGAAGTGCAAATCATGTGCAGACCAAATTGCGACGCTACACATCATCATAGAACAGAGTATAGAATGGCAGTCAACTCTATACCTCAACTTTATCGACTTTGATAAGGCCTTCAACAGCGTCGACCGAGAGGTAATTTGGAAACTGCTTCATTACTACGGAGTACCGCAAACCTTTATCCGCCTCATTCAACAACTATATGAAGACGCCACATGCCAAGTAATTCAAAATGGGAAGCTCAGTGATGCTTTTGAAGTGAAGACAGGAGTGAAACAAGGTTGCCTACTATCACCCATGATATTCCTGATTGTGGTGGACTGGATCATGCAGCAAACAGTGGGCAGCGAGAAGAGGGGGATACACTGGACTGCGGAAAAGAACCTAGAAGATCTGGATTTCGCCAACGATGAATTGTGCCTGATGTTACACAAACTTGAAGATGTACAGGCGAAAACTAACAAGTTGACAGAAGAGGCAGCGAAGACGGGACTTCAGGTGAATATAGAGAAGACAGGAGTGGTGAAGATACCGCACAATTTTTTTTTTTTTTTTTTTACAACTCCAACAAACTCCAGTCACCATGAACGGGAGAAACTTAAAGGAAGTTACCTCCTTCACCTATCCAGGCAGCATTGTTTCAACTACAGGTGGCACAGGCACAGACGAGGATGTCAAAGTCAGAATCGGAAAAGAAAGACAGGTGTTCATTAGCCTGAAACCAGTGTGGAGATCTTCTTCACTTCACTCATAAAGCGGAACAACATTCGGATTTTCAACACCAACTTTGTCAAGTCAGTGCTTCTGTTTTATGGTTGAGATTCTTGGCGCGTTACGAAAGGGATTTCCAATAAACTACAGACATTCATCAACAACTGCCTACTCTCACTCGATACTGAAGCTCAGATGGATTGCCAGAATTTTTATAATAAGCAATAAGGAACTCTGGTTTTGAACGAACCAACTTTTCAAGAACCTATCACCCAACAAATATGCAGTGGAAGGAAGTGGAGATGGATTGGGCATTCACTGAAAAGGCCGACTGAGGATATCACGCGTCAAGCCAAGCCGTTTTTTCGAGGGGAATCTCAATGGGAAGCGACGAGTTGGGTGTCGGTGCCGAGGGTGACATGGAGGAGATCGTGTGAGGAGGAAATGAGAGCTTCTGGTCTGTCGTGGAGCCAGGTTGAAAAGATTTCAGAGAACAGAGTAGAATGGAGACGTGCTACTGAGGCCTAATGTTCCATTAGGGGACTAGTAATAATAATAATAATAATAATAATAATAATAATAATAATAATAATAATAATAATAATAATAATAATGTAATGCTTAAGTTATGAAGAAAAAAAATGAGGTTTGTTCATCTGATTATATGGTATGTTAATATAGTTAGTAATGAATGCATGTGTGGCATAAGTTCTGTCGAAATCGCAGATGAACACAGCATATGCAGTCATGAAATCTACAGTTGGTTGTTAGTATTTACAATACAGATCGTGTTAATACGACCATCATCTTTGATATTTACTATCAATTATCATAATCTAAATGTTACCCTCTCTAAGGCAATACTAATATACGACATTCAAAGAGCATCTTTTAGCTGTCGCCTGTATATGCCAATATGTAACGTTATGCAGTAACGCCACGTTGATGCTGACAACCTCTACCACTATACGAAATTTTTCTCAACTGTCCTCTAGTGTTCATATCAACCTAAACAATATTTCTAATGGTGTGAATAAATGGTTATACAGGTCAAATTACTAGGAATTGAAGTAAAACATCAGTATTTTATACTTTATTTTACCTCAAAACAGTGTGGAGATCTTCTGTACTCACCATAAAGCGTGAACAACATTCGGATTTTTAACACCAATTCAGTCAAGTCAGTGCTTCTATATGGCTGAGAGACTTGGCGCGCTACAAAGTGCATTTCCAACAAACTACAGATATTCATCAACAACTGCCACCTACTCTCACTCGTTACTGAAGCTCAGATGGATTGCCAGAAATAATAAGCAATAAGGAACTCTGCTAACTAACCAGCCAACAAATATGCAGAAGGAATTGGATTGGGCATGCACTGAGAAGACTATTCCGGGACATCACGCGCTAGGCACTCGAGTGTAACCTAGATGGGGAACGGTGAGTTGGGTGTTCCAGCTGAGGATGACACGGACATCGTGTGAGGAATAAATCAGAGCGTCTGGGCAGTCGTGGAGACAGGTTCAAGAGATTGCAGAGGAGAAAGTGTAATGGAGGCGTGCTACTGAACCCCCTATGTTCCACTAGGAACCCAAGGGACAAGTAATAAATAATCAGTATTTTGTAACCAATTCTGTTTTTAGAATCTGCATCATATTAGTTTCAGAAGCCAATTCACTAACAATCACTTGTTTACGGCTGTAATGTTTAGCCCATGTTAACTGATATATTTGAAGAGATTTCCATGAGACACGATATAAATTAAGTGTAAAGGTTAGTTTTGGACGAATTGCAAGTAAACACTACCCGAGTGTTAAACAAACGTACGCTATCTGTCTGAAATGCTTCACTATCCATGAGTGCGACAGCTCACTACCATTACTCTTTTTTCAACATTTCAAAAGTTGCTAATCGCTTTCTCAAATACTATAGCACTTAAGCTTCGGATTTCCTTACAACTACCGAACAGTTTCGATCAACTTCTGAATATCTTACATCTAACGAACATATGTAGTAAGGCAAAATGACTGAAAGCATGCCTTACGTCACTGCATAAGGCATCTAGAAAGGCTAAAGTTATCATGTCAGATAACACTGCATACTGTGTAGCATTTGAAAACGATAAATTCTGTGACCAAATCCTACGATTAGAAGATAAGCATGAAATCCAGCCCAAAGCCATCATCATCAATATCAACATAGGACCAGGGATTACTGTGTAGCGATCCGAGCTGCCACAGCTCATATCAGTAGATCAAGTAGGAAGTAGTGAGGTGAAAGATGAAGATAAGAAAATCCAATCAAAAGAAACATAAAGTGCGAAAAGAGGGAAACGAAGGATGAGATTCGGTATAGCGTCAAGATGAGGATTGTGTGTATACATCTGCGCCACTGACATCGGTTCACCTAGAGTCTCCAACCAAACTATCTCAGATTCTAAAAGTTAACAACCTAGTCCACTAACTTAAGTACCTTTCCTAGTACTCATCGCCTGACTTCACACGGTGATTGCACCATACGTCAGCAACGGCACGAAGACACCTGTGTTCGAATACCTAGAACGTCTTCACACCCTCAACAATCATGTTTCACTACCATATAACACGACAGCGTTAAATGCAGCGGAGTTCACTGGTCCTCTAACAGGTAGTCGGATATCTCGCGAGTTGGTACCAAAGATGACACAAACTAGCAGATGCCAAACGGGCCTTTTGTAACTCGGTCGAAAAACAACCTGTTCGGGCTAATACAACTTCCCAAGTTAGTGAAGTGGTCGATATTGGAAACAAAGAAAGGTTTCCAGTGACACACGTGGAACTCAACAAACTATCATTCTCCACCTCTAAAAACGAAGTTTGGGTCAAATCTTTAGTATTTTTACTTCTCACAAGATTAAATATGATCCCTTCTGGTTGGTCTTAATCAATGGTTTTCCCGGCCTACGAGACAATGGAGGGATTCTCATATGATAACCACACGGGGACCAGCCTGATAAACATAATGTCTACGATTCTGGGTTCCATAATTATCAGACGTCAAAGTGGAGCTCAGCAACAAGCCCAAGACCGAAAAGAGAATTTAAACCTAACAGCCTAAAACAAATATGCGAAGGGAAAGCTTAAGAAAATTCCACACCTAATTTTGAAACTATTTTGAAAAATGAAAAGACTGAATTGTTCCACTCAAGAAAAATGTACATCCCAATAAACGAGTAAAACAACTTACTAGCCACACACAATACAGTAGGTGTAGTGCCATTGTTTTAAATATCCCAAGTGATAGACATTTTTCGTCACATCTAAAATCGCGGAGTATAGGATGGTTAAACTTTCAACCGAGTCAGAGGTTATGGAGATATTTCTTTTTCATCATGCTGAGAACTATCCTTTTTAAAGTTGCTGCCAATGGAGATGTGGCTTATTAATTAAAGAACTCAACTTAATGTCATAGGCTTTGGATTCTAATTCAGCATTACCTACTTCTGTCCGAGTATCGTAAGGCCTCACACACTATAAATACATTCCTTCCGAGTTGAGTTGCAATGCTATCATTCGGGTTAGACAAGTAGAACCGAAAAAATTAATATTTTCTTCAATTCTTTTTCAAAAAGCTAAATAAGAACCAAACAAATTACAGATTGTGATAAGGATTTATGGTAAACGAACGAAATGGAATCTCAACAGACAAACGATACAGCGATTTATATAAATCTTACAAAAAATTAAAGACGAATAAAACTGTTCCAAGTGAAATGAGTGATAGCTACTCTGATAGCACGACACTGTCCAAATATTTACACTGTGAGTGAAGCCATATCTAAAAGTGGGTATACAAAGTTGCTACAATTTATGTATTCCAACTGAGACAACCGAAAAGCGTCACACCAGTGAATCCTACGTAGTTGCCTCAAGAGTGCTATGAAATTTCTCCGAATACCAGCCTCTTCTACCTACCATAAGAACCACATTTTATGGTATATCCATGTACTTCCTCTTAACATCTGAGCAACTTACACTTTACTCCTCCCAAAAAACAGCTCCGTCCATTCAAATCAACATAGGACCGGGCAGTACTGCGTAAAAGTCCGAGTTGCCACAGCTCATCTCACATCAGCACATCAAGTAAAAAGGCAGTGAAGTGGAAGATGAAGAAAAGAAAATCCTGTCAAAAGAGATACAAAGTACGAATAGAGAGAAAAAAAGAATGAGAAAATGGTGAGATTCGTTATAACATCGTTAAGATGAGGATAATGTGTGTATACATCTGCGCCATAGACATCGGTTCTCAGCCATATCACCTACAGTCTCCGACCACTGGTTCCTTTCGTCCCGCGGACCGCAACCACTTAGTCTGCATCGCCCCATATGACTCAAACCAACAGCCAGAGACTTCATACAGAAATAGCTCAGAATTCTCAACCAATGTGATTCTCTAAGAAATCTTGAATGCCTGGGATTTTTGCTCATAACACGTTTCAAATGCAATGATTTACACCAGGGTAAAAAACGTCTTACCCATAGATGGCAACATGTTACAGTTAGTTGTAAATAAGACAATATTTTTCCACTAAGTGAACGAAAAAGATCACCTCTGATATCTAACAGTGACTTAGACTTACGAAGTCAGCTTAGGAAGGAAAAGCGACTAATATCTAGCTATTTATTGTGAGATTTAATATAATTGAAAATGAAAATCAATCACAATGCATGAGCTATTCAGTATGATCACAAGGCTTTATTTAACTGTTGCTAGATATAAAATATAGCAACAAAATGAAAGTGCAAGATAAATATTTTAGAATTTTCGGTACCAACAAATTAAATATACGGTACACAACATGAAATCAGTGAACAAGTTAATATTAGGAATAGTTAGAACTAATATGAAGCGAAAACGAGCGAAAATTTGTTGAAGAAGCGAAAATGGAACTACCAAGAATGAAGTTATCCAACGAAAACAGTTGCACAGAAATCGGTGAAATGTAACTTGATAATTAACTGACAAAAAGTTGTCTCGTAAACGCCTGATAGTCGTATGCATCAAGAATCGGCTGACCACTTTTAGTGTAATATGGTGGCATGACTCGACTACAATATTCAGCTTGCTCCTTGGATAGATTCTGCAATGTAAAATTGAAGTTTATCGAGAAATTTAAGAATAAAATAACGTATTGCCTAAAATGATTAAATTTTCGCAATAATAATAACAATAATAATGTCGACTAGTTTTATACTGGGTGACAATTGGAGGTGAAATGAAAATATGGACCACGGCCGGATTCGAACCAGCCACCACCGGGTTTCCAGCCGGATGCTCTACCAACTGAGCTATGAGGTCCGACTTCAGACCAGGATTCACATAGTGGGCGGGCAAAACCCATGATGAAATGAAATAAAAATCTGGTCAGAAGTCAGACCTCATAACTGAGTTGGTAGACCATCGGGCCGAAACCCGATGGCTATTGGTTCGAATCTGGACGCGGTCCAAATTTTCATATCACCTTCAATCATCACCCAGAATAATAATAATAATAATAATTTCATTTTACGTGGTAGTTACAGATAGAATACGTAATTCTCAATGTAAAATGTTGCGAAAAATCCACATAATGTACGACGTTTTTAAAAAATACAGTAACAATGAGTTAGTGATGCTAAAGTTAACTGTAAGTAGACGAGAGTAAGAGTGATGAATGAGCTTACTTTTTAAAACTTCTTTCGATGCATAAAGTGCATGTGATAAAAGGGTGAGCTAATTTTTTGTACTCAATCATACAAGTATAAACTTTAATGAAGTTGTTTCTTATCCTCCCTGAAGACATTCTTGAAATTTCTAATGTACACAGCCACCACCACCACTTACTGTGATATTTTCCTATTGGCTTTATCAGATAATGGTATAGCGTTAGATGTAAAACTTTTGGAGAAAAAGCGTGAGGAAATAATATGACATGAGAACACAGTTCAGTAATTAAAGTAACATCGAAAGGAGGAATTCGATGCAATGACAAATTTAATTTAGTTTAAGGTTGTCATAATTACTAAAGTAGCTAAAACGTACCAGCGATACAATAGGAACAAAATCCGTCATGTTAATGATAACTACTTCAGTACTTCTCCATTTGCAATGAGAAAAAAAGCGAAAAACGCCTACTGAACTTGTGTTTAATTGGAGTCAAACCTAAACAGCCTTTTCACTCATGAAGAATTGATTTGAAAATAAAATTCTTCGTAAAGATATTCCATTTCATTCACTAATCTCATTTCGCATAAACACATAGCTAATAACGCAAAAAAGCATTGGCAATGACGCCAATAATACTTCAATCTGCTTCAGAGGAAAGATTTTGATTGAACGGTTGGTCACATTATACCAAGTGAACAGATAACACAGAAGAGCGTATATAATACTAGGTGGTAGTAAACATATTTAACGTGATATGGTAAATCGTGAAGCCTAGTAATGCAATCAAACTAAGCGCGAGAACTTACTGCATATAGTTCTTCCTTAGTAATGTACTCTTTCCCTTCTTTTGTTAATGCGCGGAAGGCCTCCTCGACTTCATCACGGGATTGCACATTTTCAGTTTCTTTGCTTATCATAAATGCCATGAATTCTTGAAGGGTTATGTAACCATCACGGTTAGGATCTACCACACTTAATATAGATTCGAATTCAGCATCCACTTGACCTTCCCCAACTTCGTGCAAGTCATGACCAAGAGCACGTAAACATGATTTAAATTCACGGTGATCCAAACGCCCAGATTTGTCCTTGTCAAAGTGTTTGAACATCATAGAGAATTCACGGAGTGCCTCTTCACTGACACCACTAACATTTCTGGCCTGAATCTGTTGTTCTAAATTGTGCTGCATTCGCATTGCAAGCTGATCCAACTGATCCCAGGCTTGACTCAGACCAACCTGAAATTAATGCAGACTGTGTTAAGAAAGTCCTTGAACAGTATATATACCTAGCAATACGACACAATAAACTAAACGTACTGTGCTGTGTTCCGTGTACCGATTATCCAGAATGAGATGTTCTTCAAGTAAGGTCCCCAGTTTTTCAACCTCTCGCAGATCATTTTTTCGCGCTCTAACTTCAGCTGATTTTTCACGGACACCTTCCAACTGCTCTTCAAGAGTCCCGCTGCCTTCCATCATCGACGTTCGCACTTTCTGTAATGCAAACAAGATGCGTACAAAAATAGATAGTTTTCACTGAAAACTCAATAGTAATAAACCGAAGCTAACGGGTAGCAGGGGCTGTCACAAGTTATCAAGATTTTATGCTCTGCAAACATCTACTCTATAACATACCTGCAGCCATTGATGGAAAGAATTGGCAGCCACTGCAAACTGTTGTCGTAGCTGGTCGTTCTGTTCCTGGCGAACGGTTTCACGTCGCAGTTCAGCATCTCTCTCTAGAATGATCTTCTGCAGGTTACGCCATGTTTCCACAAGTGACTCCATTGTGAACCAAGTATATGGGTTCATGCCAACCTAACAAAAATATCAAAAAGAAACTGTGATAAACCTTCAAGACTCGGGTAACCGATTTCGATAAGTGAATGCTAAACCCTCGTAGAAAGTAAAACGTTTACTTAGCTGCAATGGAATTCGAGAATCCCTCAAATTTCATGAGATGAAAAGGTATTGTGCTTTAGATGATAACAGCCAATTGAATAAAAGTGCTACTTGACTTACGTTCCGAGCTTGTTGGTTATCATCAGCAACAAGTATCTGCAAGCTTAAGAAAACTCATGTGTTAGAACCAATTCGAATATAGATCAGAGACCCCACTAAGTTAATCTGGCTAAAACTGGCCACATGTAGAACAGGATTGCGAATACAGACTACATCAAAATTAGTCGCTGATTAACTGACGATAAGTTATAAATGTCCAGTTTGTGCCCATGGATGGAAGTTTGTACAAGTTTGCAAAAGTAACATGTAGTCTTGATATTTTATATTCACATCAAATACACTTCTAGACTAAGCAGTATTTTTTAGAAAATATGTAGTCATTTCATAAATAACAGACTTACACCATAACTCTTGATCTCACGATCTAACTGGGCTAGTTGCTGAAAATCAGCTTCAGCAGCTTTTAGAGATGCTTTGAATTGTTCTTGGGCTTCACATAAGGCATGAACTTCATCTAACGAATTACAACGCACTGGATCAGTCAAGTCTTCCTCTGCATTCTCAAACCAAGAATTAAACGTTGATGCTCGCTTAGCAAATGCCAGATAAAGTTCTTCAACCTTTCGATACTGTTCTTGAAGTTGCATGAGATCAGCTTTGCGACGAGCAGATTCACGTCGTAGACGTTCCCAACGATCCATTAGAGAAGTAAATCTGAAATATAATTGTGTCAAAAATGTCCATATTACTATTTCATCTAGGTTAAAAAAATAATCCATTGAGAAAATATAATAACGGTACTTTTTAAAATATGGTTACTAACCGCTGTTTAATTGCTGGACTTTGATTGTGTTCTGCAGCAATAAGGCGATCGTGAAGCTCAGTTATCGTCTGAATTCCTTCGGTATGAAAAGATTCCAATGCTGTGTCGAAAGTAGCATGTTTTGCCAACAATATTTGAACACTACTTAAGTCTCGACCATAGTCATCACTACGCACTTGAGTTTCCCGATCAGCTATCCACGACTCAACAACATCTGTTCTCCACATAAACTGCAAAAATGCCGAGTTATCCGTGAGATTAGTTTTGCGACGTTGAGCAGCCTGGTTGAGTGCACTCAACTTTTCTACTAGTCCATCACATCGTTGTTGAATAGCCGAACGATTATGATTTTCAGACTGTACAAGCTCAGATCCAGTTGAGCACAGTTCTTTGCACTTTTCATTGTGTATCTGAAATAGAAAAAAAATTAAGTCAGTCAACTCTGAAGACGAGAAAGCTAACAATAGATATTTTACTTACATTAAGATCCGTTTCAAAAGCATCATGTTTCTTCAAGAGACCTTGAACAGCTGCAAGAGTATCACCATAATCCTCACTGCTAAGCAGATGCTGCTTTTCAAGAATCCAAGCCTCTTCCTCTTCAACTCCATCGATGAAATCTTGGTACGCCAAGGATTCTTCAAGTTTTTGTCTACGAAGTGCCGTAAGACCTTGTAATTCTTCCCAAGCGGTTTGTAGACGCTGCAAGTAAATGAAAACATTTTGCAGGAATGTGCTACACAGTACAGTGTAAAGTTTATCTATCAACTAGACAATTTGTCGAATTCAGTAGAGACGAACCACTTGGAGCTTAACTGTTAAAATGGCTACGCACTCACTAGCCGATTGTTCATTGACTGGCCTGCTGAATTAGCATCCCAAATAAACAACGAATGACAGAGGAGCATACTATACTCTGTGACATACAACGTGTTGCACAATGGAATGACTGTTTACTCAGTATTACACACGGAATGTCGGTGGAAATTCGGGAACTCTTAATTACAAGTTGTGGAATTGGAGTAGCCAGTAGAAATCGTTCCATGTCATAGGTGCTGCTCAGTTGATAGTTCTTTGCTGTACGTCTGCGTGGAATCTGCTTCAATCACCTAATTTACGTCGTGTGATCGCCGTCAATCAGTGTAACGATTATTTTTACATTTGGGACATACCTACCGTATACTAGGAAAATGCTGGTAGTATAACAAATGATGGTGTTGGTCGGCAGCTCAATTTTCATCTAATACGATGCAAACAAAATTTTAGACATGGTGGGTTCAAGATGTTTCCGTCACATAGCCTATATATATCCCCTGACAACCACAAAATTATAATACGTCAGAGGACTCTGTATGTAGCTAGGACTAAATGCATTCTATCAATATTAAGTACATTAACAATCATAAGATTATCAAGTGATTTCTCCATATGCTTTATCTACTCACCAATCACCATATTGTGCCAGGATAAACATAGAACGATAGTAAAATAAACGAAGATTACTAAATATATCACCAAGAAAATACAATTTATAGTTACCTGCATTCGTTTTCTAACTTCTTCAGGATCAGCAAGTTGAATACCAACAGTGAGTTCCTCCCCTTGTGAGATAACTTGTCTGATAAGCGGATCATGAGCTGCTACTTCGTTTTCAATGCGCTCATGTTTTTTGCGTAGATTTCTTACACCTATAAGATCACGTCCATAATCTTCTGAGCTGACTAAGATTTTTTTCTCGCGAATCCAAGCTTCTTCATCGTCAATATTGCGATAAAAATCGTGCAAGCGCTTCGCTTTGCCAAGGGTTACGGCACGATTTTCCGACAGAGCGCGAATCTGCAATATAAAGTAAGGATATTTCACTGAACACGAGCAAATGTATGAAAAAACCATTTAGCAGAACAACATGCTAACTCAAATCCTTACACTTTTATATAGTATTGTTAGGTCAAGAAGATAAGTAAAAAGACCTGAAGCACATAAAAAAAAGTCGAGGGGACAAGATATACAGTTCATATTTATATACACGACGAAATATTTACCTTCTCATATCTCTCGTTGATCATTTTTTTCCGCTCACGGACCATGTCAGCATCCCACGCACCAGACTTGATGAACTCATCTGCACGAGCATCAAGTTCCTTGATACGATCCTCATGAGCTTGAATATCGGTAATCAATACCTTGAAAAGATAAACAAATAGCACAACTAACATGAGAAAACAAACCTCATTTTGACGTAGAAAAAGAATAAATCGGTGAGATTTCTTTACACCCAAAAAGACACGGCCAAGAGTGTTACCCCTTCTTAAAGTACTGAAGTTAAATCGCATGCAGAAATAAGTAGTTGACATAACTTTTTCAGTGAAAGCGTTTGACGTAAATAGAGAACGAGGAATAGCGAACTCAAGTGACAGTAATAATATAACTCACTTAAAATTGGACCAAACACTTATGCATCCCATGATATGACAGTGAAATGATTACTCATCGAAACTCAATTTCAGTGTTGTATATGCCACAGAAATCATTGCGAGAGCTTTTTACAATGTGGAGTATATATACATAAAGAGGTTTTACGGAGGATAAATATAAAAGATATAATTTGAATACAAGGTTTAAGTATACAGAAGAAAAACCGACCTTATCTGTGACATTGTTAAATGAAGTAATATGGATATGAAATGGAGACAACAGTGAAGGGAACTGTGAAATCGATTCTCGACAAGAGTACATAGATTGAAAAAGTGGACGTGAAATAAACACACAATGGAATGGTTTAATGAAATACAGAAAAACTCTACACGACTTCCAGTGCAAATAACATTTTAATACAGCTCAGTATTTACTTAGTAGGGATACTGCAAAGAAGTACTTTTCGGTTTCACATATAGTTGTACAATATGAAGCCGTGGTAACGTGAGTTGGTGGCTAAATAAGATATAAACTTGTGAACGCTTATTATAGCGAAAATCAATGATCTATATGAACACTATTTTGGATTAACTGATTAAAGTACACTGACGTCATAAAGAAGATGGTTGTATCTGAAAATATGGTTAATGAGTGTGGAAATAAAAAGCTGTTATTTTGAAACGTGAATTAAAGTAATATCAGAAACAGTTGAATCCACTGCTTTCGATAAGCACAGCATTATATTAACTGGAAAAAATGACCACATCACCACATCATTTGTTGACTAGTGACCGGTTCGAGTGCTGGCAAGAACGTATGATCTGGCATTTTTAAAATTATTTCTAATGCCTTCTGTCTTCGTTTGCACAAAAGCTACCGAAATTATAATTTTGGGAAGACAAGGCGTGAGTGTGGCATTTCCACGTTCATGGGTGAAAGACAGATTTAGTATGCGTGCAAATACGCAAATAAATCACTTCATACCTGATGTTTTGACAATAGACTGTCCACAGATGCTGAATCTCTGCCATAATCCGGACTAACAAGTGACGTTTCCATCTCACCTAACCAGAATTCGATATCCTTAATTCCAGCATTATATGCAGCCTGACGATTGGCCTCTTGTAACTTTTCAGACTTTTCATGAGACCGGTTAACAAGATTGTCCCACTGATTAGCCAATTTAGCGATACGTTCTTCAACAGCACTTTCCTGCCCCATGCACTGATCTGCAATAAGAAATCGAGAGAAAAATGACACACGGAAAACAAATGTCGTAGGAAATGACTATCTAGAAAAGTAGTATAGCTAGCTTACTCTTTTGCTTTAAACGCTGGCCAGCTGCTAAAATTCCTTGAAGACGTTCTGCATTTGCTGCGAGTTCTGCTTCAAAAGCCTGATGCTTTTGATGTTTAGCCTGAATATTTGTGGTAGGATCTTTGTAAGGCTCATCCATCGTAAATTGCATTTTCTCATTAATCCATAGCTCCATTTCATCTGCATCTCGAATGAAAGCCTGAAGTGTTTGAACGTCCCCCAGTTTGCTTCGATTATCGATCATAGCATCTTTTAAATGCATCCAACGATTCAAAACTTCATCACGTTTAGCTTTGATTCCATCTGCGTCATAATGATCCGCCTCCAAAAGCTTATCAGAATTCGCAATTAAGTTCTGAATCTTGACTTCTTGAAGAGTAATCGCACGGTTGAAATCCTCGTGCTTCTTTATCAGTGCGTCAACTTTGTTCCCATCAACGTCATCCCCAGCCAGAGATGCTTCGCGGATCGCCATCCAATCTTCAGCTTGCTCGCAATCCCGCAAAAATAGCTGTTCTTCCAGATTTTGCTCCAGTAGCTTATGACGGTTTAACCAAGCACTAGTATGAAACCAAATAGTTATTATTAGTGAGAGTGAGAAAAGTTGTTAACGGGATAACAAAACCGACTTGTTTGTAAAATGTGTACTGTCAGTAATTTACTTCATCAACAATGCACAGCTTTGACATGTATAAACTGACTGCATACTTTGACACTCATTTATTCACCCGCTGATAAACAAAGCTGCAAATTTAAATATTTCCCTGATAGTCATATGGTTTATTATCCTGAGTAAATACAAACCAGATAGTTTGGTTCATTGAAAATAAGGAAACGTGGAATATTTTTGAGTTGAGTGACAATATCATTTTGACTAAATGCTTAGGCTTACTGAAGCTCTGCATACAGTAACGGTTTTAGGTCACGATAGATTCTTTGACTGACACACTAACCAAAACTGATGAATTCAATAACTCATCGATAATCGTACAATGACTATTTCTTAGTTAACACGCATAAAACCATAAATAATCCCAAAAATATTAGGCAGATAAATCAACGTAGAACCTGGTGGAGAAGTGCGTCAATTCAAGTTGACATAGATCATATCAGCGAGCAAAGAAGTGGGTAGAAAAAGAATGATACTGGATAAGTGTGTTGGAGAAAAGGTAATGAATACACACTCAGTAATTTTTCTAAAATTTGGAAGCTGATAAAGCATACATACAAACACTATTGTGGACGGTTTTGACCACACCACAAAGCGTGTCCCACAATATCATAGGCCCTAACAAGGCAGATTACATCTCTGAAAACAACTCAGACCAACGGTCAGAGAACACATGGACTAGTGGCATGTTTTAGTCTTCTTCCGACCTAATGAAAATTTGAATGACACTTGGAATCGACAAGTACTTCAACCTGAACCCTCCTCAGAATCCACACAAACGTAGTTCTGATGACACTATCAAGCCACTGAATCAATACTTCGGAGACAATTTCTCACTATTCAATATGATACCGCTAACTGAAGCTACTGATGCATAAAAGTGATGAATTCCTAACAAATGTGAATGTTGTCAGTAAAGGATGAGGGCGACTTCGACTTAACTCTCTGACATGATCAAATCAAAGGTTTTGTTCCAATGGCTGACAAAATCAACGTAGAATCTCGAACAAAAGTGCATCGACTCAAGCTACCACACTTCACAGTAGTACAAGAATGAATGAGTAAGAAAAGTATGGTTTCAAAGTAGACGAAGTTGTGTGAGAGAACAACTGATTCCTATTGTCTTAATAACCTCATGCAGGAAGTCTACATCTCCCCACAGAACTCAGACCGACAGTCGGAGACTTCATCGACCGGTGCCGTATCTTGGTCTGGTCACTCAGAACCCCCTTCCAACGTAATCCAAGTTCCCCCAGCATGGCACACCGAGGTAGGCGGTGGCTCGGCATGCACAGTATACATACAATATGCAGCCTTCAACCACTTAAATTCGCAGACATCCGGATACGACTACTGAATCAGCTACAACAAAATTCTGAATCGACCTTAAGTGTGATAGTGGGGATGAATGCCAATAGCTAATCAAATCACAGAAGGATACGATTCAGATGGGCTCTAGTGTGCGAGCGTTACGTCAGGTTAAAAAATAACCAGTATGTTAGCCCTTCCCTAAATATTCTTAACATGCCTTTTGATCAACTGCATTGTAGTTTTCAGAAGAATGCACCGAAAACTATCGATCATCATCATGAGGTTTTGGAACATGGGATATCACGAGATATTGTCTCTCCAAACATCGTTGCCAACTGTCCAATGTAGTCTGTTGCAAAGTTGGATACTGTCAGTCGGATTGACCACGCAGATACATCTAGATCCCAACGGAAATCCGCAGTAAAAGTCAGTTCTCAACTTAATCGGTTTACTGAATAAATATCATATTACAACAACAAGCAAACGCATGTACGGTGGTGTTCGAGGTCATGACCTATTGGTTGAAGGTCAACTGTCCAAAACAATGAGCTGCAGCTCTATAAGCTATACCAACATCACTATAAAAATATGAGATGAATTGCTAAAACTGAGAACTACTACAAGATGGTTTGGGTAAAATGTACTTCTATGCAAACTGCTTGATTTCAGCTGCCTTAAAACAGCCTATGCAGCCTTTAAAGTTCAAAATTAAAGCTTAAGGATTGAAACATCTACATGAACTTACACATTTAGCGCTTCTCTTGCCTCTGCAATATCCTGAAGCTTTTGTTGCACCACATCGGAAGCATAATGCCCATTGTCTAACAATTCCTTACCAAATGATTCAAAGTTTTGAAATGCTGGGGCTCGAGTATCGATTTCCGTACGATATTCCTATGAGAACAGTCAAGATAAACATAAATACTTACGCGGTGACTATCCAACAAAGACTCTGCACTGGTAACATACGTCCCCACTTGTTTGGATGATACCAAACCATGCATCGTGCTAATCCAAGACTGAAGATCTCTGTGAACAGAAAGTTAAATCTCAAGTTAATAAGGTAGACTACAGTTAAGTGGAAGTATGAAAATGACAATTTGCAGCGGAAACTATTGCACTAACTCTTGTGGGTCGGACACCGGAATTTTTAACATGCAACCAAAATACAACCGGTAAATCACACTTACTGCGGGGTGTGATATACTAATATGGTTTCCATCACAGAAAAAGCTTGCGTCTTATTCTTCTATATGACTACGACACGCATTTGAAGATGTGAAGATTATGTGTATCTGATCTTTTGTGCCTTTGATTGCATGACCACCTTGTTAACATGTTTTGGAAATATTATGAATCTATCCTTTGAAACAGAAGCAGCAACAATATATGATATGGTTTAGCGGTATAAATTATTAAGCTGCTGGACTTTAACCAATCAAAAAAATATGCAATAACAATCCTCTTTAATCTTGCCATAAATATTGGACGGCATGCTAGTTTTTTAACAGAAGTTTCGCACTGTTTTTTTCAAAATGGTGCTACTGTGCGCTGTCAGGGGGAAATTCACACACTGATTTACTTTTCCAGACCTCATAGCAATTCAAAAAAGCAGGTAAATAATTATACATTATATTACACCACTTATCCGTTGCATAAGGGGTAACGACACACTCGTTGTTCACACCGTCATACAATGCACGTAATTCATGCCTATGGTAAGTTGGTTGAAAGACGAACGTTCAAACCAATAAACCAATTCACAGCTCAAAAATAGAAACATGAAAAATAAAAGTAGGTATACACAGCAGGACTTAAACCACTGAGACAGAAGAAAATCAACGTAGAACCTTGCACAAAAGCGCATCGGTTTGAGTTGCCATATTCTAAAGTGGTATGAAAATAACAAGTGGATAGAAAAACTGATAGCAAAGTAGACGACGGTGTATAGAAGTAGTAGAAATTTTCAAGGTTAGTTAGAAGATTCGAGCCTCGGGAGACATTTTTCTTCAATGTGACCAATTCTCAGCCATGTCACCAAGAGCTCTCAACCACTGATTCCTGTCGTCTTCCGCACCCCAGTCAGGCAGTCCACACCTCACCACATGGCTTAGACTAACAGTCCGAAGATTCACCAACTGGTGCTACGTTTTGGTCTGGTCACCCAGAGCCCCCTCCCAGCCTGACCCAACTCCCCTTATTATGGCAGGTCGAGGTAGGCGGTGGCTCGGCATGTGTGCAGTACATACCCAAGTTACGTCAGTCGATGAAGGCTAACAACCTCATCAATTGACTTGCCTAGTACTCTTCGCCTAACCTCTAAATTGCCAAAATGGTCATTCCAGCATGTGCAAGTAATACTACTTACACCTATGGTGATAAACCTGTAGCCGCTTGTATTTACTCTTAACGGATGTCTCAGCCATATAATAAGACAGAACAGACAACAGCGTAGTTTACCGCTGCGAGAGCCAGTGTTAGCACTACATCACAGATCAACCCCTAGGTGAGTAATGGACAAATTGAACGAGTGCGGTATCAAAATCACCAACCTATAGTTCCATAACATGTGCATCTAGTTATACTCATTTACTTACGTTGTTGCAAAGTCTTTTTAACAAGCTATATGTAACAGTGATAACTAATGAGCCAAAACTTACCTCGCATCAGCTAAGAACTTTTGCAGATCTAGAGAATCCAAAAGCTTCGCTTTTCTTTTCTCAGCAGTTGCAGCCAATCCATCCCACAAATGATTAATCTCTTCTTGATGTTTACATATTGCTTCTGCATCCTGAGGATGGATTTGCACTAGATCCGCTGCCTTTGAATCCAACTGTTTAACTCTCTCACCTAGTGCCACTAAATCTCTTTCTAGTGCATCATGTTTACGTATTAGACGCTGAACAGATGTGAAGTCATTGCCTACATCATCTGTTAGCAATCGACTTTCTTTTTCTTCAATCCATTCTTTGGCTTCGTCGCACTCTCTGTGATAACGCTGAACAGCATCAATATCTTCCAGTTCCTTAGCTTTTTTAGCAGTGACTTCTTCTAGTTGCTCATATTTTTTCTGAAGCTGCATGATAATACCCTCTATTTTTTCTACAGCTTCCGTTTGACCACCTCGTTTTAGTTTATCTGCCTTAGCACATAGTTCTGTGACTCTGGCTTCTCGTTCTTTTTGCTCCATAACAAACTCATCCACCTTTTTCTTTTCTGATTCTACCTCTTCTAATCTTCCAGGGACTATAGTCTCCGTCACAGCAACTAGTTCTTTCTCGACTACCCATTGGTGCAAATCGTTGGCTTCCCTAACCAGTTGATAGGCTTCAACTGAATCTTGGAGCCGCTCTCGACGATCCCGACCCAACTGGAGTAGATAATTATACTGCTCTTCCAAACGCTGCTGTTGCGATGCAACAGTAAGTGGCTTAGACACCAATCCCGACTGAGCATCTGAGAGTGGAGCCTCAACTTTTTTAACATACGCAGCAGGAACAAAACCTTGGCGATCATTCACTTCCACTTTCCACCAGTCTTTGTGGTTACTGGCTAAGAGAGTCAAAATTTCCCCTTTGCGCATTGAAACTTCCCTAGGAGACTTTTCTTGATAGTCATAAAGAGCCATTACGACATCTTTACCAAGTAAATCACTTGCTGGAGCTTCTTGCATGCGGCAGCTACTAGCCTGGATACCGAGAGCTTCAATAGTTGAGCCGTACGCTTCAATGTCAGCAAGCAGAGCATTATGCTTTTTCAGAAGAGCTTCAGTGGAATCTTCATCTCGACCGAATTCTGATGAGCCAACCAATGGTTCTTTCTCTCGCATCCAGCTTTCTGCTTCACTTGCATCTGCAAAGTATTGTTGAGCTTGTAATGAATCCTCCAACAACTGTCGTCGATGGTCGGCTTTTTCACAAAGTTGTGCCCAATCAGCATTCAAATCATGTATACGTCTCTCGATATCTCCAGAAGCGTAGTGGTTGGCGCGAACCATATCCTGGCCTTCCTGAACAACCTCTTCAATGCGCGGTGAGTGACCATTTATTTCAGCATATATAGCTTGATGCTTTTTAATCAAGTTCTGAACACCAATCAAATCACGACCTAAAGCATTGAGAAATTCAACATAGATTAATACTCTTGGAAATGAATTGAACTAAAAAATAATCTTACGGCACAAGATGCAAAATGTTGTACGTATATATTTCATACCGGTAAATGACTTTCTTTCCGCATGAGCGATTAAACTATCATCGTAGGACTGACTTTTTTCCTTTAGCCAGCTTCTTTGTATATCGGTTAGAAGTGAAAAAGCAATGGCACATTGGCATACGTAGCTTGTAGAATGAGTTGCTACTTTGATGTGGTGGTCAGACTTGCATATCACAAGGACCCAACAAGCCATACTGATGGAACACATGTTCCCTTCAGGTCCTACTATACTATGCAGGTCTCTTGGGTAGTGGTATGATAGAAGGCAGTTAGTGATATCGCGTAATATTCTACGCCTTTAATTAGGAATCCGAGGGCGAAGTTGTACTACTTGCTGGACAGGTATATGACACCAGTAAGATACTTCCTGTAGACAACCAGCAGTGCCATGCTAGTGCTGCGATCCACGAGGGGAGGGTTAGAGAAAGATTGGCCCTTACTACAGCACACTCCACAGTCTTTCGGTGCTTGTGAACGAATCGAAGCAAACAGACAAGTTCTAGCCTCAAACCACCAAAAAGGCCATGTGTGACCGGTCGGAAGTGGATGCTACCTGGGCTCTGCTATAACTAACCCAACTTATTTTTTAGGTACTCCGAGAAGGAGTAACCTCATCAATACTCAAGTTTCCCAATCAGGTTATTATCAACCTCCAACATATTTGCCTTCTAATCTTTCTTCAAGGTCTCAGTCAACAGTCCTACGTCATATTTAGTTTCTCCCAACTCTGTGGTTGTCATTATCGTTTCGAGTACACGGAACAGCATCTCCAGTCTCCTGAAACCGCGCTCAAGACCACTTGTAGCTTTCAGTGTCCGCACCCTCCATCAAATCGGCCAACAAGTTTCACTATCCGAAAATCCGGCAGATTGTGTGCTATGTTCACATACGAAACCATGGCGTTGCTATTCATTTAACCTCATCTGATCAATGTAGTGATTTTGCAAAATTCACCTTTCGAGTTTCAGTAGCTACTTTTCATGGTCTTGCAGGTGCATATATAGCAATAAGTGCTAAGGCGAAAAGCACACTGTTTGATTGGGTCCCAGTTTATAGTCGTCACCTGTGTGCTGTTCGAGTGAACGATACAGTGAGGACTAAAAAAAGTAGTAAGACTCGTCGTTGTTTCTTTGTAACGTCTCCTTAAGCACACTGACTGCAGTTCGGATGAAGTGGAAGATGAGTTCTACCAAAAACTAACTGTCTAGCTTTCTACTGAAAAGCAATCAGATGTTGTCGTAACAGGTGGTTTCGATGATCAAGTAGGTAGGTTGAGTCAGGCAGAAAAGAGCTTCGGTGGGACTTTCGGAAACCCAGACGAACGTAACAGATAGCGGCGATCGTTTACTCCAACTGTGCTTGGCCAACCATGTATTTCTGACCAGCTCGAACTTCGGACATAAAGGGAGACATCGTGTGACTTGGCGTCCACTGACCTCACTTAGGTAGTCAACAAAGATAGTGGCTATCCGCTGACACTGGATATGATCGATGGAAGATCACTGTTCCTTCTTGAACTTGTGTTTGAATAACGACCACGAGCTGGTTGAAGTGCATATCCGTGCCTAAGTGGACGGAGAAAATATGCAGCAACAGGATTATTCAGAGTGCAGTTCAACGATAAGAATACTTAGCCTGGTTCCAGCAAGAAACTGGGTAGACAGTTGTCCGAACAGGACAAGGTCACTCATTCTGAAGAAGCCTCGCGCTTACTTCAGCTTGCTGCAAAAACAGCACTTAAGAAAGCAAGCAAATCTCAAAAAGTGGTTTGAAAGCATTGGTGGACCACTGCAGTATCTGCAGAACTGATGGGTGCACAGGAACGCATTCCAGCAGGACCCGAGCACAACGAGAGACGGAAGTAACTCGAATGAAGCCTTACGAAAGGTCTGCGTGGAAACCATGAGCATTTATAGACACTGAAAGCTAAAGATATGATAATGCAGCGGTGATAAGTAACCGTACACACGTATAAACAATTATAAAGGAAGCTGGGGAAAGACGGTCAACAGCTAGTAAGACTTTAGCGGAGAAGGATAGGTCTGTAGCTCGCTTCCAGAGGAGACAACTAGGAAGATGGAAGACACTTCAAGAAACTATCCTGTTGCCCTCTATCCAGTTTGATCCTTGAGTGAACATTCAGATACAACACCCAACTATTGCCGAAATTGAGAAGGCTGTAAGTAACATGAGATAAGGAAGAGCAACAGGAGCAGATGAGTTAGTACTGAGGGTACTCAAGGACAGCAGCAGAGGGTTATTGGTCAGATTAACCGAAGTCTTAGCTACAGTATGGGTTTAAATACGATTTCCTTTGACTGCTCAATCACTGATGATGATCGCAGTCTTCATGACAGATGAAAAATCCCCCTGCTAGAACCAGAAAACACCCAGTCCAACACATTGTGTCTAAGCTTCTAGGTTCCATAATCACCAGACACCTAAATGTCCAGACCGGGAAAGGTTTCAACAACCAGAAGAAACATGGTATTAGTTCGTGAAGTCTCTGTTTGTTTGTCTGATCGGAATGGCAAATGTGGATTTTCTAGCTGCGGGTTATAGGGGATATGGCTAAGAGTCGATATCACTGTTACGTATGCATTCTCCAATCACCTCAATCGCCAAACTGAATTTTAATATTGTCTCATTCTTCCTTACCTTCTTTTGATAACTTTCCACCATTTCAAACCCTTTCTTTATCGTTCATTCTCGCATGGTGTGACGACGTGAACCATTATTCCGTAGTACCAGATCCTATGTTGATATCGTCCATGCTTGTACATGAATGTTTTGTCTAATTTACGAGACAAGTGCTTTACGACCCTTGATAAAATTAATTCGTCAGTCGTGACAACTTTCGATCGCAAACAAAAGATCCTTAGGCGGTTTGTGTTTACTGCCTACATAACTTTATCACCTTTCAGCTGTTCTAAGTGTAACCTAACAAGTAAAAGAGAGTCCATGGGGACACTAGTTAGCTGGGATTTTATGCAGCAAAAGTTCATCAGGTTTCGCAGGTGTCAGTCATATTTGGGATCTTTCGTATACCAGTCTCCCGCATTTTCTGGTCAAGGTCCGATTACTTCCCAAGTGTGAACTGGTTACCCCAACGAGTGTTCCCAGTGTAAACCACACCCCAATTTTTTTTAATATGGTGAGTGATTTTTCTCTTCCACTCGCCAACCATAGGATTTGCCTGCCCCATTTTTGTAAGTCAAGTGCACAAATGCTAAACATTATTTCTATCCATCATCCTTTTATGTGCTGGTTCATATATGCCCATCTGCGATGATGCTTCCTGTTCACTTCATGAATTTCGGTATATTATATTGGATATGCTTATGCCGTAGTCAGCTTATAGTAGAGTCAACCACCGTTCAAATAAAAGGTACTAAATCAGAGTGCAAATGACTAAGTTACCTACAAATCAATCTCAGTATTATTCACACGATGAAATCCCCGTGTGAACAATCTCGAAGTTAGGCGTAGGGTATTAGGTAAGGTGAGGTTGTTAACCTTCAGTGACTGAGGTAGCTTGAACACATTGTGCATATGGAGCCACCGGCTACCTATAACGCTATTCAAATCTCTAAACTCGAACTCACGCAGCCGTGTAAGGGCTTATGGAGCTGTCATGTAGTGACGACAACCATTGTTCGCCATGGATGCTCACTGCCACCGCTCCCATTTAACTTCGACATAGGCGTACTGATGAACATGACTTTAGTCCGTTCTATCCCCTGGTGGTCATCTGGTTGACTTGGAGTTTACAGACAACATTGTCTTGCTAGGTGAAGACACTGACAAAATGCAGTGTTCGCTGAACCGGTTGGGCAAAAATCAGAGTACGTTTGTAATGCGTTCCGCTGGCACCTGTCAAATGCAGAATGATGTTACGGGACCGGTCTGGAACTATGTTCAATGATGAGGAGTGAAGTGGTGGAGTATGACGAACAATTTACTTGCTGACTGAGCCGCATCAGCGCGAAATCTCAGCTCCGATACAAAAGGTCTGTTTAGCATCTGCTAACCAGTGTGATCCGTGGCGCCACGTAGTGAGATACTCGATCATCTACCAAAGGACGAGTATGGTGCGTTGCAGTCCGTTGTACAGTCATACAGCTGAGATGTGGTCGTTAAAAGTAGAAGATATGAAGCAGCTGCGGTCGATAACAGAATTTTTTGTAGTTCGCCTTTGGTAGCAGCATTTCAGCAGTGATACGATCAAGTGAAGGGTACTATGGAAATCGACAGATGAGGTTGCGAACCTTCGTCGATTAGCATGACTTGGATATGTACCTAGCATGCCAAGTCACCGCCTACCTCGACGTGCCATGCTAAGGGGAGTTGGATTAGATCGGAAGGGGGTTCAGGGGAGGCGAGACGAGGCACCAGCTGGTGAATTCCCGGACTGCTGGTCTGAGCGGCATCGGGAGATATGGACTGCCCGACTGGGGTCCGTAAGACGACAGTTATAAGCGGTTGAGAGATCTTAGTGACATGGTAGAGAGTCGGTAGCAGTATTGCAAGCAGGCAATATCAACATAGGATCTGGTACTACGGAATAATGGTTCACGTCGTCACACCATGCGAGAATGAACGATAAAGAAGGGGTTTGAAATGGTGGAAAGTTATCAAAAGAAGGTAAGGAAGAATGAGACAATATTAAAATTCAGTTTGGCGATTGAGATGATTGGAGAATGCATACGTAACAGTGATATCGACTCAGCCACATCCCCTACAAGTCGCAACCGCTGACTTCTGTTTAATAACTCCAACTGGGAAGTCTACATTTTCTACACGCATCAGACTAACAGTCAGAGACATCGTCGAATGGTTGCATGCTTTAATGTGACCTTCCCTAGCTATTTCCTAGTATGGACTTGCTTAAATGGGAGTTAAGCAACGAGGCAGACGATGACTAGGCATGCATAACACATGTCTCATCTACATGAAGATTCACTACTTAATCTGACTTTTTGCTCTCACAAAACCTCTGCGACTAACTTCTACCTTACTGACGTGGTGGAATGAAAGAACGCGGTCTACCCTACGGGTTAAGTGGTATTTCATTCGTACCTTATGAAGCTCACTACAACGAAAAAATCTGACCGTTTAGCCAGTTAAGTAGAAACACCAAGAAATACCACACTTGAAATGCTCCGGCGATAGGTCCTTCAATCATAATTGTTTACACGAAGTAAGGAATTGAAATTACTTCGCCGAAATGTCCACATTTCCACCTAGCAACAATCTAGTTAACCTCTGGCTGGGCTGCCGATCGTAAACTTCCGCAGTGAAAAGCGGTGACTAAGACGTTACAATCTAATGGGGGAATCTGGATCCTCTCCATCTCGAAACATCGCCTTTAAAAATACAGTAAACAAAGTAACAAAAACATTGTAAGCTTCTGCAAAAGGCAGTATACAACTTTTGTGTACTGCTGTGAAAAGAGGCTATTTTTTTCTGGCACTTAAAACCGCGCACATGTACACGGGGAACAGGTGCCAAATGAACAAATAATTCGTGTACTTACCTACATTGGTGGAACCAGCAACTGGCTCTTTTTCTCTGATCCAGTCTTCCTCATCCTCCACGTCTCGGAAGAACTGGTGCAGTTTGTATGCATCCCTCAACTTTTCCCGACGCTGATTTAGTGGGATTTGTAAATCATTGTAACGCTGTGACAGTTGGCGTTGCTTTTCTTGGATAATAGGTGCATCAAAATGGCCCTCAGCAGCGAAGGTATCAGCCTGAGCTTTGAAGGCATCTATACGCTCACGATGAGCAACTATATCAGATTCAAGTAAGTTGTGCCTCTTTTGTGCATTCATCACACCGTTAAGATCACGACCTACATCCTCTGATGTTATTTGAGCCTCAACATCACTTAACCACAGCTCAACATCTTCAACATTACGAACAAACTGTTGCTGTCGGCTAGCCTGGTCTAAATTCTTCCTCTTGTTGCCCATCGCATTTACAAGGTGAGACCAGGTTTCGTCTAGCTGCTCAATCTTCGCCTTTATTTCTGATGAGTTGCAGTGATTTGCACTTAACAAATCCTGGCCTGTTTTCTTGATATCCTCAACACGAGACTGGTTAGCTTGTATCTCTGCCTCGAAGTTCTGGTGCTTCTGTACTTTGGTCTGCAAATTAGTTGAGTCTTTGTAGCTCTCATCAAGCGCACTCTTAAGCTTTTCTGATATCCATGATTGCATTTCGTCAGTATCCCGATCAAACATTTGATAACGATGAGAATCTTCAAGACGCTGACGGCGACTTTGTGCTTTGTCATTCAAAGCGTTCCGCCTGTTTTGAAGAGCTTGCTGAAGCTCACTGACTTGTGCAGCAGCGTAGTGATTCGTTTCGATTAACTTCGTTGCAAATTCATCAAGCTGTCGCATTTTTTCCTCTTGCGCAAGAAGAGATTTCTCGAAATCTTCGTGTTTCCTGATGAGTGCTTCTACAGAGTCCAAAGAATCCCCTACATCCTGGATCTCTAACAGAGCTTCTTGTTTACCAATCCAGGACTCTGACTGTTCTGCATCACGATAGAAATACTGAAGTCCCATGCACTGTTCTAACTGCTCACGTCTTTCTTCACACAGCTCTAGAAGAGAAGATCGCTCTCTTTCAAGAGATGAGAGTTTAGCTGCAATATCTCCACTGCAAGGATGACCAACACTTATCAACGCTTGACCTTCTTGCAGGCACGTGTCAAAATTGTCTATTCGCGAGTTTATTTCGGCAGTGTATTCTTTGTGACGCTCTACCTGAGCTTCAGCACCAGCCACATCTTTTGCCAAGTCATCAGCGGAGATTAATGTTCTCATATCTGTCATCCAAATACTTAAATCTCTCCAATCGGCAAGAAAACGATGCATTTTGAACGACTCTTCCAGTTTACCCCTCCTATCAACAGACTGGCTTTTAAGCTTTTCCCAAGCAGCAATTAGTGCTTCGTATTTACCTTGTATGGTATCTTTTGAATCTGGATGTTTCTGCGCAAGCGCCGAAGCGTCATCTCCCAGTTGTATAATCTTCTCATCTAAAGCAGTTAAATCTCTTTCGAGGGCATCGTGCTTTCTCTGTAACGCTTGTACTGAGGCTAGGTCACGGCCACAATCTTCGATAGATAGAGGAACAGACTTCTCATTTACCCACGAGATGGCCTTATCAGTATCTCTGAAGAAGCGCTGTATTTCATAGGCTTCAAGAAGTTTTTCTTGTCGTCTTTTTGCAAGATCTTTCAGGCGCTCAAGGGCTTCACGAACCTCCCTGGACTTTTCGATCACCAAGGCGTCTTCAGGAAACTCTTCTTTCAGTAGATCATCTGCCTTCCGATAGATATCCTCTGCACGATTCTCCTGATACTCAAGATCCTAGGAAATACATAAGAAGTGATAAAGCGATGTACCTTTGTAAACTCATCGAATTTTTTTTGTAGGGCCTCAACATGTTCCAAGTCCTGACCAAAATCCTCTGACGTAACATAGGTCTCTTTCTCACGTATCCAGAAGAGTAGCTCGTCGACCTGACGTAAAAACTGCACAAATTTCAGAGTAAGGTTAATCAGGCGCGATTTCTCTCTGAACATAGCCATCAACCTTTCCCACAAGGCATGTAATTCATCAAGTCGATTCTAGAACTCAAGGGTTGGTAGGAAAAGCATTACCTTAATGATTTCAGTAGCATAGTGACCCTGGCTTATCATTTCTTCACCAGCAGAATCCAAAGCTGAGAGTGTTTCAGCATGAGCTGTTACTTCCAATTCAAAAGCCTGATGCTTTTGTTTTTTCGCCTACGAAAAGATCATTACGAGCATTAAATTGCTACCTGTAGATTACTGAGCTCCTTGAAATCCTCAGTTGCATAGGTTTGTAATTTTTCATTAATCCAACATTCAAGTTCATCGGCATCACGCTTAAAATACTGATATCTAGCAAAGTAATCGTAACAAGGTTAACGGACTAACTTTTTGGCCTCTTCCAACCTATGACGGCGGTAATGTGTTGCTTCTTTAAATGCAGAATAACGCGACAGAACTTGCTCTCTGCGTTCACGGATGTCTTCTGGAGTTTCTAATATTTTAACTTTGGTTGGCGGTTCAGCCATCCTTCGTGCAAAGGTAAAACCGAAACTGAGTTGGACTAAATTGACGACCTAATTGGTGCAGCTAAACACATCAGTCTTCAATATCAAATACTTCCTGAGGTTTTCCGACAAATTGAAAGTCTTTAAACTAGCATATCCATCAAATGAGATCGATTTTTTCTTGTAAGGTTTTACTTTTTCGGTAGGCTTTGAGTCCGAAAATATTCAAGTCTTTCTAACAGTTACAAAAATTTATATCTTACCTCGGTTTCATTTTTTGATATCTAATATCAAAAAATTTTTATGTGCGCTTGCATGAATCACATGAATTCTTTGCGCTTGTTTATAGGCCTTGCGGGACTGTTTGATTATTTTGATAAATTTTAATACAATTGATCCACACACTCCCTTCCTGTAGCTTTGGTAAATTCAACAGATGATTCCGTGTTACTTGTCTCTGTTAGGGGGTGTATAGTTTATCCCAAGATGGTGATGCGGGTGAGATTCTCAGGTGTCCTGTGGCCATGGAGTTCCCTACTCTGGTAGTAAACGAAACATGGGGAGAATATGACAGCCGCGCAAAAATAAGTAGAGGAAATGAGAGAAAACAAAAAGAAGTGTGATGAAACGAAATCAATATAATCCTTAACATCACCATTGAAGGTGTGAGAAAAGCTACCTCTCAGCTGGCTTCCCCATCTAGAACCACTGAATTACTAGTTCCTGTGCCTGCTAAACTGTACACAGTTAGAGAGAAAGTGAAAAGCGGTACCTAAAAGTTGAGAATTCAATCGGTTCTGGGCCAGGTCCCACCCACATTTTAATCAGGTATCAAGCCAGCGTTTGAAGGATTCAGGTGAAGTAACCGGAATTATTCATTCAAAAAGAGCATCTCGGGGTTTGACAACTCTCAGGGGATAGAGGTTGTGCCTGATACCTAACCTGCTGTGTTCTAGGCTTAGTTTCCAAGTCTGTCCTCCAGGATATATGCTACAACTAAGATCCGGTAGGCGAGGGGGTGGGTATCCAGGTGTGCCCAAGATATTGTGAGCCATTTTCGAGTTCTCTCTTAGTCTTCTATGCTTCAGCGGATCCTGATCAAGCGCAACCGGTTGTTCTTCGTGCGTTTCGGCCCCAAGTCCTTGAACCGATTCCATCGACCTTTAGATGAGTCCTGCGCATTATTTGTCCTTCTTCAGGGAGGGGGTAAGACGATAGTCCCAAACTCCGCATAAGGCTATATGAAGCTGCTGAAACTTTGATGCGAACACCTGCGAATGAATTGTCCGAAAATTAGTCGAAGAGTTATTGACACCCAATTTTCACGAAATCCGTTTATGTCACGGTTGGCGAAGGATTTTATGTCTTGAGGACTAAAGCGCCCTAACCACTCTCCGCCTGCAACGTTTCAGGTTCCATGCTACAGAAGCTAAATATGTGACATACATCATCTTTTATGTGTAAAACCGTGTATTTTACAAATATAAATGCGAGCCCCTTATTGGCCGCCCGGTGTTGAAGTTGGTTTATGTCTCCCTGAGGGGAAGCAGCGTCTGCCTGACCTCTGATTTCTCCCCACAGTTTCACGTCACCGGCAGGGAGAAGGACTCCAGAAGAAAGCTGTTGAGTTGGGCCTTTCGCATATGTTTTAAAGTAGAGGTCGTTGTACTGAACCCTGTGGAACTCCACCAGAACATTCTGTTTCCTCAGACATAGAAAAACTCACTCGAACTCTGAACAGATGACCTAGTGGGTGTGAGAACAACCAGTCAGTGAGCGGTAGCCTGATTTCGAATGAGTTTAATTTATGAATGAAGCAGTCATGGTTAGCACGACGAGGTGCCTCAGAACCGTCTAGATAAACAACATGAATTCGACCTCAATGGTGACTAAGTCAGTGAGGGAGGAGTTAACAAAATTCTGAGGCTACGTAAGAAACTTTCGACTAAGAGAACTTATGTGAACACGATCGACTTGTGAAAGAATCAGAAGTAGTGAAAGGAAAGTTGGAGATCAGAATACGCATAATGGAAAAAAGAAAAATAATGTCATGGAGTTAGGACGTCTGCTGGAGAGTTTTAGGGTTATATCAACTGTGGCAGTAGGAGAGGAATGGTGCGAAGACCACTGTGTTGGATCGATGAAATGTCAGTCGGTTGCTTCGGGCATTTATGCACTCCACCCGGCAGACCACAGAAGAGGCCGTGATTGCCTCCGCTGGTAATGAGTTGTAGTGGCCGCAGACTTCGAGAGAGGGGAGTGCGAACGCACGTGGGTTTTCGCCTTTTGATTGGCGGTAAAGGCGAATCTATAGGCTTCTTTTTCACCTGGTCCTTGATCATATCAATTTGCAGATTCCCTGTTGTGGTTGACTACTTATTACTATATTTTTGTAGTAATATTTCGGTCTGTTCCATGTATTTTGCCTACGATGTCACCATTATCCCCAAATGCTATGTTACCGACGCTTCGGTATGCTACGTGAGCCGTTCGCCATTTTTCTGTTTTGACAATAAGCTTCGATTTTAACGTCTTTTTAAATGCAAAAATCTAGGGCTAAACGTTCTAAAATCGACTGCTCTAGTGAGGAAAAGCCAAGACTTGGTCATTCTAGTGCTCTTAAGTGTGACAGAAGCATTGTTGCTCCGTGTCACTCAGATCACGATGATCTGGTATGCCCCACGCCTTTTGTCACAACCGAAGACATCATATAAGTCATGAGTAGCAGTATTAACGACCACGGGAGAGATCGATAACATTAAGACTATGATGGAAGAAATTCGGAGAATAGTTGAGGCTTTCCATCCATTAGCATATCTCCTAGGGAAGCATGAGAATTTAGTTGAAGACCATGTAGTAAAAGCAGAAGACTTAATAGACCACTTGGCAACGGAGGTAATGAAGAGACTATCGTCGTCCCAACAGGCCATCGTTTTAAACATGCCTGATACTCTGCCCTCGGACGTGGTCAAGACAAAGGTATTAAACTCATGCAGTATGACAGGAATACACTGTTACTGTAGGCGCCTCCGCAAAAAGTCAGCGCGGTCTGGCAGCCCCATGATCTTCAAGTTCACCACTTCATTTGACGCCAAAAGATTTATAAAACTACAAGACTACATAAGGTTACATAGCAGCTTTGAAAATATTGCTTTTGCACAAGACAAAACGGCATGCCAACGCAGAAAACAAAAGAGGAGTAGTCTGGCCAGTTCATCCCCTTTGAACACAGAGGCTGCTGTGTGCGTGAACGGACCATCAGAAAGTGCTGATATGGTCAGTACTTCTGTTGGATATACTTCTCACGCGGTGCAACAGACTCAGTCAAATCTAGCTACAAGTGAACCTGATCCTCCAATTGCTAGTAAAAAGGAAACCATTGGTACCCCGGTCATAAACCATACCTTACGCCAACAGCAAAGAAGAGGTGCACGTTAACAACCTGTAAGTACCGTGAAAAACTAAGACAGAAACTCACCAGTCACACCAGCACAAACCACTGTTGAGTCCTGTCACGTCCGAGACACAGGTAGTGCATCGTCTAGCGAACTGAATACCAGAAATTCTTCCGCTTACCGAGGCTTAAGGGACATCGTAAGTTACTTTGCAAGCCATAGCAGCCTTTTCATGCTTCTATTTATTAATGCCCGCTCGTTACTTAAGAAAATATTCGATCTTAGAACAATAGTTTTGTTGACCAAACCCACCGCATTATTAGTTACTGAATCATGGTATACTGACTCAATCTTAGATGTGGACCTGTGTATAGATGGTTATACTCCGTATCTTACTAATCATGACCACAATCGTGGTGGAGGCTGTTTGACCTATGTGTGTAGCGTTGCTACCTCAAATAAGATTGAAGATGATATCTTCAATGATCTGCCGTACTCACTTTGAATCGTCATAGACGGTACCAACCACGAAGTCCTCACAGGCTATGTATAGAGCACCATGTTCAACAAAAGAAAATGATGAACTGATGGCCAGATTATTTGCTCACACTGGATCCCTCACTGTTGACTTCAAACTGATTGCAGGCGACATCAACTTACCTAAAGTTAACTGGGGGGTTGGTCGCGGCCCTTGACGATTTGATGAAATACTTGCTGTCACAGATATTTATGGCTGGAAGCAATACATCCAGCAACCCACGCGTGGAGATAGTATACTGGATGGTATTCTGTTGCTTACCAATTCTTCCTCCTAATCAGAAAAATAAACAATCTTCAAATTATACCCGGCATAGAAGCTATAAGAATATAGAGTGGGAAGTACTCATCGAGCCACTCAGGTGCTCTCCATGGGATGGCTACTTTACCACAGCCTCATTAACACACACACTCACTTTTCCACAGAAATATAGAGCTGTGTCTAGATACTGTTGCTCCCGTGAAAACAGTTAGGGTCTATAAAGAGCCAGACCCTTATGTCCCTAAAATTTGCCGCAATAAACTTGGGAAATTATCATCACAATACCACTCGTCGAAAGACTTCATGTCACTGCACTCAATTCATGAGACTTACGAATCTATCAGGACACTACGTGCGAAACACGCAGTAAACGAAGAGATCGTCGCTCCCAAAAGTGGCTCTGGAATACACAAGTTGACATCCCTTCTGAGTAAACGTCTGAAGCCATCAACGGATGTAGCCTGTCTACTACATAAAGGGGTGGTACACAACGATCCCCTCAAGATTGGTGGACTGCTTAACGAATCATTCTCTAATTTCAACCCTGATGCCCTCAACCCCACTAGCTTTACTCCATTTGCCACTAGTTCATGTACTAGAGTGGAGTTCACTGTCAAAAGTATCACTGAGGCTATCAAAAGCTTGAAACTATCGACAGCTGCGGGGATAGATAGCCTAAACTCAATAGTCACCAGAAAAAGTGGTGATGATATGCCACTGTTCTTGCTTAAGATATTCACACTATCGATGGAAAGTGGGGAGTATCCTAATGAGTGGAAAACTAGCTTTATTATTCCTCGCTGCAAGTCCGGTGACAAAGCGAATGTTGGGAACTACAGATCTATCAACATAGC